TCTCTCAGGGGGTTCACGATGGCCGTGTGGGAAACGCTGAGACCCTGGGTTCAGGGTTCAAGCCCTGGGTCTGAATGTGTCTCTCTCAGGGGGTTCACGATGGCCGTGTGGGAGACCCTGAGACCCTGGGGTCAGGGTTCAAGCCCTGGGTCTGGGTGTCTCTCTCTCAGGGGGTTCACAGTGGCCGTGTGGGAGACGCTGAGACCCTGGGGTTAGGGTTCAAAGCCCTGGGTCTGGGTGTCTCTCTCTGTCTCTCTCAGGGGGTTCACAGCGGCCGTATGGGAGACGCTGAGACCCTTGTGTCAGGGTTCAAGCCCTGGGTCTGGGTGTCTCTCTCTCAGGGGGTTCACGATGGCCGTGTGGGAAACGCTGAGACCCTGGGTTCAGGGTTCAAGCCCTGGGTCTGGGTGTCTCTCTCTCAGGGGGTTCACAGTGGCCATGTGGGAGACGCTGAGACCCTGGGGTCAGGGTTCAAGCCCTGGGTCTTAGTGTCTCTTTTTCTCTCAGGGGGTTCACGGTGGCTGTGTGGGAGACGCTGAGACCCTGGGTTCTGGGTTCAAGCCCTGGGTCTGGGTGTCTCTCTCAGGGGGTTCACAGTGGCCGTGTGGGAGACGCTGAGACCCTGGGGTCAGGGTTCAAGCCCTGGGTCTGGGTCTCTCTCTCAGGGGGTTCACAGTGACCGTGTGGGAGACACTGAGACCCTGGGGTCAGGGTTCAAGCCCTGGGTCTGGGTGTCTCTCTCTCTCTCAGGGGGTTCACGGTGGCTGTGTGGGAGACGCTGAGACCCTGGGGTCAGGGTTCAAGCCCTGGGTCTGGGTGTCTCTCTCTCAGGGGGTTCACGGTGGCTGTGTGGGAGACGCTGAGACCCTGGGTTCAGGGTTCAAGCCCTGGGTCTGGGTGTCTCTCTCTCAGGGGGTTCACAGTGGCCGTGTGGGAGACGCTGAGACCCTGGGGTCAGGGTTCAAGCCCTGGGTCTGGGTGTCTCTCTTTCTCTCAAGGGGTTCACGATGGCTGTGTGGGAGACGCTGAGACCCTGGGTTCTGGGTTCAAGCCCTGGGTCTGGGTGTCTCTCTCAGGGGGTTCACAGTGGCCGTGTGGGAGACGCTGAGACCCTGGGGTCAGGGTTCAAGCCCTGGGTCTGGGTGTCTCTCTCAGGGGGTTCACAGTGGCCGTGTGGGAGACGCTGAGACCCTGGGGTCAGGGTTCAAGCCCTGGGTCTGGGTGTCTCTCTCAGGGGGTTCACAGTGGCCGTGTGGGAGACGCTGAGACCCTGGGGTCAGGGTTCAAGCCCTGGGTCTGGGTGTCTCTCTCTCTCAGGGGGTTCACAGTGGCCGTGTGGGAGACGCTGAGACCCTGGGGTCCGGGTTCAAGCCCTGGGTCTGGGTGTCTCTCTCTCAGGGGGTTCACAGTGGCCGTGTGGGAGACGCTGAGACCCTGGGGTCAGGGTTCAAGCCCTGGGTCTGGGTGTCTCTCTCTCTCAGGTGGTTCACAGTGGCCGTGTGGGAGACACTGAGACCCTGGGGTCAGGGTTCAAGCCTTGGGTCTGGGTCTCTCTCTCAGGGGGTTCACAGTGACCGTGTGGGAGACACTGAGACCCTGGGGTCAGGGTTCAATCCCTGGGTCTGGGTGTCTCTCTCAGGGGGTTCACAGTGGCCGTGTGAGAGACACTGAGACCCTGGGGTCAGGGTTCAAGCCCTGGGTCTGGGTTTCTCTCTCTCTCTCAGGGGGTACACGGTGGCTGTGTGGGAGACGCTGAGACCCTGGGGTCAGGGTTCAAGCCCTGGATCTGGGTGTCTCTCTCTCAGGGGGTTCACGGTGGCTGTGTGGGAGACGCTGAGACCCTGGGTTCAGGGTTCAGGCCCTGGTCTGGGTGTCTCTCTCTCAGGGGGTTCACAGTGGCCGTGTGGGAGACGCTGAGACCCTGGGGTCAGGGTTCAAGCCCTGGGTCTGGGTGTCTCTCTTTCTCTCAGGGGGTTCACGGTGGCTGTGTGGGAGACGCTGAGACCCTGGGCTCTGGGTTCAAGCCCTGGGTCTGGGTGTCTCTCTCAGGGGGTTCACAGTGGCCGTGTGGGAGACGCTGAGACCCTGGGGTCAGGGTTTAAGCCCTGGGTCTGGGTGTCTCTCTCAGCGGGTTCACAGTGGCCGTGTGAGAGACACTGAGACCCTGGGGTCAGGGTTCAAGCCCTGGGGTCTGGGTGTCTCTCTCTCAGGGGGTTCACAGTGGCCGTGTGGGAGACGCTGAGACCCTGGGTTCTGGGTTCAAGCCCTGGGTCTGGATGTTTCGCTCTCTCAGGGGGTTCACAGTGGCCGTGTGGGAGACGCTGAAACCCTGGGGTCAAGGTTCAAGCCCTGGGTCTGGGTGTCTCTCTCAGGGGGTTCACGATGGCCGTGTGGGAGACGCTGAGACCCTGGGGTCAGGGTTCAAGCCCTGGGTCTGGGTGTCTCTCTCTCAGGGGGTTCACAGTGGCTGTGTGGGAGACGCTGAGACCCTGGGGTCAAGGTTCAAGCCCTGGGTCTGGGTGTCTCTCTCAGGGGATTCACGATGGCCGTGTGGGAGACGCTGAGACCCTGGGGTCAGGGTTCAAGCCCTGGGTCTGGGTGTCTCTCTCTCAGGGGGTTCACAGTGGCCGTGTGGGAGACGCTGAGACCCTGGGGTCAGGGTTCAAAGCCCTGGGTCTGGGTGTCTCTCTCTGTCTCTCTCAGGGGGTTCACAGCGGCCGTATGGGAGACGCTGAGACCCTGGTGTCAGGGTTCAAGCCCTGGGTCTGGGTGTCTCTCTCTCAGGGGGTTCACGATTGCCGTGTGGGAAACGCTGAGACCCTGGGGTCAGGGTTCAAGCCCTGGGTCTGGGTGTCTCTCTCTCTCTCAGGGGGTTCACAGTGGCCGTGTGGGAGACACTGAGACCCTGGGGTCAGGGTTCAAGCCCTGGGTCTGGGTGTCTCTCTCTCTCTCTCAGGGGGTTCACGGTGGCTGTGTGGGAGACGCTGAGACCCTGGGTTCAGGGTTCAAGCCCTGGTTCTGGGTGTCTCTCTCTCAGGGGGTTCACAGTGGCCATGTGGGAGACGCTGAGACCCTGGGGTCAGGGTTCAAGCCCTGGGTCTGGGTGTCTCTCTTTCTCTCAGGGGGTTCACGGTGGCTGTGTGGGAGACGCTGAGACCCTGGGTTCTGGGTTCAAGCCCTGGGTCTGGGTGTCTCTCTCAGGGGGTTCACAGTGGCCGTGTGGGAGACGCTGAGATCCTGGGGTCAGGGTTCAAGCCCTGGGTCTTTGTGTCTCTCTCAGGGGGTTCACAGTGGCCGTGTGAGAGACACTGAGACCCTGGGGTCAGGGTTCAAGCCCTGGGTCTGGGTGTCTCTCTCTCTCAGGGGGTTCACAGTGGCCGTGTGGGAGACGCTGAGACTCTGGGTTCAGGGTTCAAGCCCTGGGGTCTGGGTGTCTCTCTCTCTCTCAGGGGGTTCACAGTGGCCGTGTGGGAAACGCTGAGACCCTGGGGTCAGGGTTCAAGCCCTGGGTCTGGGTGTCTCTCTCTCAGGGGGTTCACAGTGGCCGTGTGGGAGATGCTGAGACCCTGGGTTCAGGGTTCAAGCCCTGGGTCTGGGTATCTCTGTCAGGGGGTTCACGATGGCCGTGTGGGAGACGCTGAGACCCTGGGGTGAGAGTTCAAGCCCTGGGTCTGGATGTTTCTCTCTCTCAGGGGGTTCACGATGGCCATGTGGGAGACGCTGAGACCCTGGGGTCAAGGTTCAAGCCCTGGGTCTGGGTGTCTTTCTCTCAGGGAGTTCACAGTGGCCGTTTGGGAGACGCTGAGACCCTGGGGTCAGGGTTCAAGCCCTGGGTCTGGGTGTCTCTCTCTCAGGGGGTTCACAGTGGCCGTGTGGGAGACGCTGAGACCCTGGGGTCAGGGTTCAAGCCCTGGGTCTGGGTGTCTCTCTCTCTCTCAGGGGGTTCACGGTGGCCGTGTGGGAGACGCTGAGACCCTGGGGTCAGGGTTCAAGCCCTGGGTCTGGGTGTCTCTCTCTCTCAGGGGGTTCACGGTGGCCGTGTGGGAGACGCTGAGACCCTGGGGTCAGGGTTCAAGCCCTGGGTCTGGGTGTCTCTCTCTCAGGGGGTTCACAGTGGCCGTGTGGGAGATGCTGAGACCCTGGGGTCAGGGTTCAAGCCCTGGGTCTGGGTGTGTGTCACTCACTCACTCACTCTTTCTCTCTTTCTCTTCGACGTTTATTATAATCTCAATCTAATTTATATTTAATTCTTATACAAAAATATTAAAACAAGGACGGGATTTCAAGCTTTGTTGCATCGAAGATGTCAGAGTTGGAATGACGACGCAGAAGTCTCTCCTGCCCCTCGTGATGATGATGGAAGCGATGGTGATGATGGTGATGATGGTGATGATGGTCGTGATGGTGATGGTGGAGATGATGATGATGTTGTTGATGATGTTGATGATTTTGATGAGGATGATGATGTTGTTGATAATGATGTTGATGATGATGTTGTTGATGTTGACGATGATGTTGATGGTGATGGTGGTGTTGGTGATGTTGATGATGTTAATGATGATGTTGATGTTTATGATGATGTTGATGTTTATGATGATGTTGATGTTTATGATGATGTTGATGATGTTCATGATGATGATGATGGTGTTGATGATGATGATGTTGTTGATGATGTTGTTGATGTTGTTGATGATGTTGATGATGTTGTTGATGTTGATGTTTATGACGATGTTAATGTTTATGATGATGATGATGTTCATGATGATGATGTTCATGATGATGGTGTTGCTGATGATGATGATGTTGATGATGATGTTAATGTTTATGACGATGTCGATGATGTCGATGATGATGATGTTCATGCCGATGATGTTGATGATGATGATGATGTTGTTGATGATGGTGTTGCTGCTGATGATGATGTTGATGATGATGTTAATGTTTATGACGATGTCGATGATGTCGATGATGATGATGATGATGTTCACGACGATGCTATGCCCCTATCCGACGCGAGCTGGCACCACGAGAGCCTTCATCAGCTGTCCTCCTCGCTGGACCATCACGACGAGCGCCGCTCCACCACCACCACCTCCACCACCACCACCACCACCACCGCCACCACCACCACCACCAGCGCTGCGCACAGCTCGCTGTACTGCGGCCGTGCCGGTCATCACCTCGCCGTTGATTGCCACGATGATATCCCCGGCCTGCAGGCCAGCCCTGCTCGCCATCATCAACATCATCAACATCATCATCATTATCAACATCAAAATCATCACCAACATTACCACCACCAGCATCATCATCTTCACCAACATCATCATTATTATCACTATGATGTTCATCATCATCATCAACATCATCAACATCAACATCATCACCAACATTACCACCACCAGCATCAGCATCTTCACCAACATCATCATTATTATCACTATGATATTCATCATCTTCACCAACATCATCAACATCACCATCAACATTACCACCACCAGCATCAGATCATCATCTTCACCAACATCATCATTATTATCACTATGATATTCATCATCATCATCAACATCATCAACATCATCAACAACATTACCACCACCAGGATCATCATCATCTTCACCAACATCATCAACATCACCATCAACATTACCACCACCAGCATCAGCATCATCATCTTCACCAACATCATCATTATTATCACTATGATATTCATCATCATCATCAACATCATCAACATCACCACCAACATTACCACCACCAGCATCATCATCATCATCATCTTCACCAACATCATCATCATCATCACTATCATATTCGTCATCATCATCAACATCATCAACATCATCACCAACATTACCACCACCAGCATCATCATCATCATCTTCACCAACATCATCATTATTATCACTATGATATTCATCATCATCATCAACATCATCAACATCATCACCAACATTACCACCACCAGCATCAGCATCATCATCACCAACATCATCATTATTATCACTATGATATTCATCATCCTCATCATCAACATCATCAACATCACCATCAACATTACCACCACCAGCATCATCATCATCATCTTCACCAACATCATCATTATTATCACTATGATATTCATCATCATCATCATCAACGTCATCAACATCATCACCAACATTACCACCACCATCATCAGCATCATCATCTTCACCAACATCATCATTATTATCACTATGATATTCATCATCATCATCATCAACATGATCATCATCATCACCACCAACATTACCACCACCATCAGCATCATCATCATCATCATCTTCACCAACATCATCATCATCATCACTATGATATTCATCATCATCATCACCATGATCATCATCATCACCACCACCAACATTACCACCATCACCACCACCAGCATCATCATCATCTTCACCAACATCATCATCATCATCACTATCATATTCATCATCATCATCAACATCATCAACATCACTACCAACATTACCACCACCACCAGCATCATCATCATCATCTTCACCAACATCATCATCATTATCACTAAGATATTCATCATCATCATCACCATGATCATCGTCATCATCACCACCACCAACATTACCACCACCAGCATCAGCATCATCTTCACCAACATCATCATCATCACTATCATATTCGTCATCATCATCAACATCATCAACATCAACATCACTACCAACATTACCACCACCACCACCACCAGCATCATCATCATCTTCACCAACATCATCATCACTATCATATTCATCATCATCATCATCAACATCACCATGATCATCATCATCATCATCACCAACATTACCACCAGCACCAGCATCATCATCATCATCTTCACCAACATCATCATCATCACTATCATATTCATCATCATCATCACCACCATCATCACTACCGCAATCATCACCATCACCACGAACACCACTACCATCATCGTCATCACCATTATCATCATTATGATGAGTGTCAGGGTGAGTGTCGGGGTGAGTGTCAGGGTGAGTGTCAGGGTGAGTGTCAGGGTGAGGGTGAGTGTCAGGGTGAGTGTCGGAGTGAGTGTCAGGGTGAGTGTCAGGGTGAGTGTCAGGGTGAGGGTACTAACGCAGATGCTGGGGTGTCTGGAATCACGGCGTTGATGTAAACTCCGGACAGAGTCCCTGGGAACTTTGTGTAGCGGCTCAGCTCACTCAGAAGACTGTGGTGAGTTGGGATACACACACACAGATACACACACATACACACAGATACACATACACACAGATACACACACACACAGATACACACACACACAGATACACACAGATAGATACAGATACATACAGATACACACAGATACACACAGATACATACAGATAGATACAGATACACACACACAGATACACACAGATACAGATACACACACACACAGATACACAGACACACAGATACAACAACAACAACAACCGCCATTCGCCACTAAGTGGCGGTGACGTCACCACGACGCTTGTGCCAGGCTATGTGCACCCTGAGGCCACGTGAAGTGTCGAACGCCCGCTGGCAGGAGGTCACGGGGCAGACCCAGGTGCCACCGGTCGACTGACTGAGATGACTGGCTGATGCACCACCTGTGCCCCCTACTGTGCCAACCTGCTGTGCTTTAGCCACCCGGCGCTCCGCTCGCTGTTGTGAGCGTCGCTCCTCCGCCCTCTGTTGTTGTTGGAGGGCGACTGCCTCCAACTGCCCAGTAGCATCCTTCACGAGCCTCCTCCACAGAGGCCGATCTTGACACCGCTGGTACCAGTCATCGGCAAGTCCACTCAGCTCCACGTCCTCCTGTACCACATCACTCCATCTCTTCTCTAGCCCGTGCCGCGCCCGCTTAGCCCCCTCAATCCGGCCAAACAAAAGCTGTTTCGGCATGCGGTGGCTGGGCATGCGGGCTACATGACCCAGCCATCGCAGCCTTGCCTGCCGGAGGAGCTCACCGATGGGACCCTGCCCAGATCTTTCAAGGATTTGTGAGCTCCTCACACAATCCAGTCTGGTTAAACCCAGGATGGATCGTAGGCAGGCCAGCCTAAATGTTTCTAACCGGCGAAGATGTTCCATTAGGGGGGTCCACGTTTCGCAAGCGTAGAGAAGGGAGGGAATGACCGTGGCTGAGAAGACCTGAAGCTTAGTGCGGAGCGACAGACCAGGTAGCTTCCACACAGCGTTACGCAACCGATGAAAAGATATTGCCGCTCGACTGATTCGGAGTGAGACCTCTGCTGTTAAACTGGAGCCAGTCATAAGCACACTGCCCAGGTATGGGAAACTCTCCACTCTCTCCACAACTGCCCCATCACCGATTGGGAGTTGTGGGGGTGGAGTGTCCGATGGTACAAAATACCCAGGCAGGTGCTTAGTTTTGGTGGGGCTGATGGTAAGGCCCCACCTCTTAGTGGCACGCTCCAGTCTCAGCAGCAGCGTCTCCAACTCCTCCTCTGACTGAGCAGTTATTACCAAGTCATCAGCATACATAACGTGGTTGAGCAATAGGGAGCCATCCCTTGACCGCACCCGGGCATCGATTAGCCTCCCATTATATCTGTACCATATGGAGATTCCCCCGGTACAGCTATTGAAGGCTTCACGAACTACGTGGTCAAAATAGATGTTAAATAATGTGGGAGCCAGAGGACATCCCTGTCGCACCCCAAGGTGTACAGGGAATGGCTCTGACTCCCGGCCACGTAGTTTTACCCGGGCCCGCTCACCATCATGAAGGTCCTTAATGATCGTGAGCAGAGGGTCAGGTACTCCAAAAGCACGAAGAACGACCCAGAGCCCAGGCCTACTGATGGTATCATAGGCCTTGACCAGGTCAATAAAGCAGAGATGTAGGTCTTGTTGGAATTCCCTACACCTCTGCTGTAGCAGACGGACAGAAAATATGGCATCTGTGCAGGACCGCCCTTTCCTGAAACCGCATTGGGGCTCCGCAAGCCTCTCCTCAGCGTGCCTGGCAAGGCGATGCTGAATAATCCTTGCCAGGACCTTTCCCGGCACACTGAGGAGTGAGATGCCCCTGTAGTTGTTACAGTCTGTGCGGTCCCCCTTCTTAAAAAGGGGGACCACCAGGGCATCCTTCCAATCCTGCGGAACCCGTCCAGTGGTCCAGACTGATACACACACAGATACACACACATACACACAGATACACATACACACAGATACACACACACACAGATACACACAGATAGATACAGATACATACAGATACACACAGATACACACAGATACATGCAGATAGATACAGATACACACACACAGATACACACAGATAGATACAGATACACACACACAGATACACAGACACACAGATACACACACATACACAGATACACACAGATAGATACAGATACACACAGATACACACACACACAGATACATACAGATACACACACACACAGATACACACACACAGATACACACAGATAGATACAGATACACACAGATACACACACACAGATAGATACACACACAGATACACACAGATACACACACACACACAGATACACACACATACACACAGATACACACACACACAGATACACACACAGATACACACAGATACACACAGATACACACAGATACACACACAGATACACACACAGATACACACAGATACACACAAATACACAGATACACACACACAGATACATACAGATACATACACACACATACACACACAGATATACACAGATACACACACACACAGATACACACACACACAGATACACACACACACACAGATACACAGACACACAGATACACACACACAGACACACACACAGATACACACACACAGATACACACACACACACACAGATACACATACACACACACAGATACACACACACACAGATACACACACACAGATACACACACACACAGATACACACATACACACACACACAGATACACACACACAGATACACACACACAGATACATACACACAAACACACAGGTACACACATACACACAGATACACACACACAGATACACACAGATACACACAGATACACACACAGATACACACACACAGATACACAGATACACACACACAGATACACACACACCCAGATACACACAGATACACACACACTCACAGATACACACACACAGGTACACACACACACAGATACACACACACACAGATACACACACAGACACACAGATACACACACACACAGACCCCCTCCCCGCTCCCTGGTAGAGCGACTCACTGAGGCGTCAGCGTTGACATTCGGATGCCGATGTAGAACTTGCTGGGCTCATTGTGGTCTGAAACACAGCGGGGTCAGTGGGAGGAGATCACAGCGCTAGAGATGGGGGTCACAGCGCTAGAGATGGGGGTCACAGTGTTAGAGATGGGGGTCACAGTGTTAGAGATGGGGGTCACAGTGGTAGAGATGGGAGTCACAGCGCTAGAGATGGGGGTCACAGCGCTAGAGATGGGGGTCACAGTGTTAGAGATGGGGGTCACAGTGCTAGAGATGGGGGTCACAGTGCTAGAGATGGGGGTCATAGTGCTAGAGATGGGGGTCACAGTGCTAGAGATGGGGGTCACAGTGCTAGAGATGGGGGTCACAGTGCTAGAGATGGGGGGTCACAGTGTTAGAGATGGGGGGTCACAGTGTTAGAGATGGGGGGGGTCACAGTGCTAGAGATGGGGGTCACAGCGCTAGAGATGGGGGTCACAGTGGTAGAGATGAGGGTCACAGTGTTAGAGACGGGGGTCACAGCGCTAGAGATGGGGGTCACAGTGTTAGAGATGAGGGTCACAGTGCTAGAGATGGGGGTCACAGTGCTAGAGATGGGGGTCACAGTGCTAGAGATGGGGGTCACAGTGCTAGAGATGGGGGTCACAGTGCTAGAGATGGGGCTGACAGTGTTAGAGATGGGGGTCACAGCGCTAGAGATGGGGGTCACAGTGGTAGAGATGAGGGTCACAGTACTAGAGATGGGGGTCACAGTGCTAGAGATGGGGGGGTCACAGCGCTAGAAATGGGGGTCACAGCGCTAGAGATGTGGGTCACAGTGTTAGAGATGGGGGTCACAGTGCTAGAGATGGGGGTCACAGTGCTAGAGATGGGGGTCACAGTGCTAGAGATGGGGGTCACAGTGCTAGAGATGGGGGTCACAGTGCTAGAGATGTGGGTCACAGCGCTAGAGATGGGGGTCACAGTGCTAGAGATGGGGGTCACAGTGCTAGAGATGGGGGTCACAGCGCTAGAGATGGGGGTCACAGTGTTAGAGATGGGGGTCACAGTGTTAGAGATGGGGGTCACAGCGCTAGAGATGGGGGTCACAGTGCTAGAGATGGGGGGTCACAGTGTTAGAGATGGGGGTCACAGTGGTAGAGATGGGAGTCACAGCGCTAGAGATGGGGGTCACAGCGCTAGAGATGGGGGTCACAGTGTTAGAGATGGGGGTCACAGTGCTAGAGATGGGGGTCACAGTGCTAGAGATGGGGGTCATAGTGCTAGAGATGGGGGTCACAGTGCTAGAGATGGGGGTCACAGTGCTAGAGATGGGGGTCACAGTGCTAGAGATGGGGGGTCACAGTGTTAGAGATGGGGGGTCACAGTGTTAGAGATGGGGGGGTCACAGTGCTAGAGATGGGGGTCACAGCGCTAGAGATGGGGGTCACAGTGGTAGAGATGAGGGTCACAGTGTTAGAGACGGGGGTCACAGCGCTAGAGATGGGGGTCACAGTGTTAGAGACGGGGGTCACAGTGCTAGAGATGAGGGTCACAGTACTAGAGATGGGGGTCACAGTGCTAGAGATGGGGGGGTCACAGCGCTAGAAATGGGGGTCACAGCGCTAGAGATGTGGGTCACAGTGTTAGAGATGGGGGTCACAGTGCTAGAGATGGGGGTCACAGTGCTAGAGATGGGGGTCACAGTGCTAGAGATGGGGGTCACAGTGCTAGAGATGGGGGTCACAGTGCTAGAGATGTGGGTCACAGTGTTAGAGATGGGGGTCACAGTGTTAGAGATGGGGGTCACAGTGTTAGAGATGGGGGTCACAGTGCTAGAGATGGGGGTCACAGTGTTAGAGATGGGGGTCACAGTGTTAGAGATGGGGGTCACAGCGCTAGAGATGGGGGTCACAGTGCTAGAGATGGGGGTCACAGCACTAGAGATGGGGGGGTCACAGTGCTAGAGATGGGGGTCACAGTGCTAGAGATGGGGGTCACAGTGCTAGAGATGGGGGTCACAGTGTTAGAGATGGGGTGGTCACAGCGCTAGAGATGGGGGTCACAGCGCTAGAGATGGGGGTCACAGTGTTAGAGATGGGGGTCACAGTGCTAGAGATGGGGGTCACAGTGCTAGAGATGGGGGTCACAGTGTTAGAGATGGGGGTCACAGTGTTAGAGATGGGGGTCACAGTGTTAGAGATGGGGGTCACAGCGCTAGAGATGGGGGTCACAGTGTTAGAGATGGGGGTCACAGTGTTAGAGATGGGGGTCACAGCGCTAGAGATGGGGGTCACAGTGCTAGAGATGGGGGTCACAGCACTAGAGATGGGGGGGGGGTCACAGTGCTAGAGATGGGGGTCACAGTGCTAGAGATGGGGGTCACAGTGCTAGAGATGTGGGTCACAGTGCTAGAGATGGGGGTCACGGTGCTAGAGATGGGGGGTCACAGTGTTAGAGATGGGGGTCACAGTGCTAGAGATGGGGGTCACAGTGCTAGAGATGGGGGTCACAGTGCTAGAGATGGGGGTCACAGTGCTAGAGATGGGGGTCACAGTGCTAGAGATGGGGGTCACAGTGTTAGAGATGGGGTGGTCACAGCGCTAGAGATGGGGGTCACAGTGTTAGAGATGGGGGTCACAGTGTTAGAGATGGGGGGGGTCACAGCGCTAGAGATGGGGGTCACAGCGCTAGAGATGTGGGTCACAGTGTTAGAGATGGGGGTCACAGTGTTAGAGACGGGGGTCACAGCGCTAGAGACGGGGGTCACAGTGCTAGAGATGGGGGTCACAGTGCTAGAGATGGGGGGGTCACAGCGCTAGAGATGTGGGTCACAGTGTTAGAGATGTGGGTCACAGTGTTAGAGACGGGGGTCACAGCGCTAGAGATGTGGGTCACAGTGTTAGAGATGGGGGTCACAGTGTTAGAGATGGGGGTCACAGTGCTAGAGATGGGGGTCACAGTGTTAGAGATGGGGGTCACAGTGTTAGAGATGTGGGTCACAGTGCTAGAGATGGGGGTCACAGCGCTAGAGGTGGGGGTCACAGTGTTAGAGATGGGGGTCACAGTGGTAGAGATGGGGGTCACAGTGCTAGAGATGGGGGTCACAGTGCTAGAGATGGGGGTCACAGTGTTAGAGTGGGGGTCACAGTGCTAGAGATGGGGGTCACAGCGCTAGAGGTGGGGGTCACAGTGCTAGAGATGGGGGTCACAGCGCTAGAGATGGGGGTCACAGCGTTAGAGATGGGGGTCATAGTGCTAGAGATGGGGGTCACAGCGCTAGAGATGGGGGTCACAGCGCTAGAGATGGGGGTCACAGTGTTAGAGATGGGGGTCACAGTGCTAGAGATGGGGGGGTCACAGTGCTAGAGATGGGGGTCACAGTGCTAGAGATGGGGGGGTCACAGCGCTAGAGATGGGGGGGTCACAGTGTTAGAAATGGGGGTCACAGTGTTAGAGATGGGGGGGTCACAGCGTTAGAGATGTGGGTCACAGTGCTAGAGATGGGGGTCACAGTGTTAGAGATGGGGGTCATAGTGTTAGAGATAGGGGTCACAGTGCTAGAGATGGGGGTCACAGTGTTAGAGATGGGGTGGTCACAGCGCTAGAGATGGGGGTCACAGTGCTAGAGATGGGGGTCACAGCGCTAGAGATGGGGGGGTCACAGTGTTAGAAATGGGGGTCACAGTGTTAGAGATGGGGGTCACAGTGCTAGAGATGGGGGTCACAGTGCTAGAGATGGGGGTCACAGTGCTAGAGATGGGGGTCACAGCGCTAGAGATGGGGGTCACAGTGCTAGAGATGGGGGTCACAGCGCTAGAGATGGGGGTCACAGTGCTAGAGATGGAGGTCACAGCGCTAGAGATGGGGGGGTCACAGCGCTAGAGATGGGGGAGTCACAGCGCTAGAGATGGGGGTCACAGTGCTAGAGATGGGGGTCACAGTGCTAGAGATGGGGGTCACAGTGTTAGAGATGGGGGTCAGAGTGCTAGAGATGGGGGTCACAGTGCTAGAGATGGGGGTCACAGTGCTAGAGATGGGGGTCACAGCGCTAGAGATGGGGGTCACAGTGTTAGAGATGGGGGTCACAGTGCTAGAGATGGGGAGTCACACTGCTAGAGATTGGGGTCACAGTGCTAGAGATGGGGGTCACAGAGCTAGAGATGGGGGTCACAGTGCTAGAGATGGGGGTCACAGTGCTAGAGATGGGGGTCACACTGCTAGAGATGGGGGTCACAGTGCTAGAGATGGGGTCACAGCGCTAGAGATGGGGGGGTCACAGCGCTAGAGATGGGGGTCACAGCGCTAGAGATGGGGGTCACAGTGTTAGAGATGGGGTCACAGCGCTAGAGATGGGGGGGTCACAGCGCTAGAGATGGGGGTCACAGCGCTAGAGATGGGGGTCACAGTGCTATAGGTGGGGGGCACCGTGGATTTGCCGTTCGTGAGTCTCTTTCAGGAAGCGTCGAATGCGGTCCGCGGCTATCGCGAAGGAGATCCCCGCGGTGACCTTGAGGGTGTTGATGCCGATGACCTCTCCATCCTAGCCACTCGCGCACACATCCGGTGACACGCTCGGCCATCAGATACACACATACACACATACACACACACCGATATACACACACATACACACATACACATATACACATACACACACATATACACATACACACACATATACATACATACACATACACACACATATACATACACACATACACACACATACACACAGATATACATACACATACACACATATACATACATACACACATACACATACATACACACATACATACACACACTCACACACATACACACACATACACACATACACATGACAACAACAACAACAACCTCCATTCGCCACTAAGTGGCGGTGACGTCACCACGACGCTTGTGCCAGGCTATGTGCACCCTGAGGCCACGTGAAGTGTCGAACGCCCGCTGGCAGGAGGTCACGGGGCAGACCCAGGTGCCACGGGTCGACTGACTGAGATGACTGGCTGATGCACCACCTGTGCCCCCTACTGTGCCAACCTGCTGTGCTTTTGCCACCCGGCGCTCCGCTCGTTGTTCTAAGCGTCGCTCCTCCGCCCTCCGTTGTTGTTGGAGGGCGACTACCTCCAACTGCCCAGTAGCATCCTTCACGAGCCTCCTCCACAGAGGCCGATCTTGACACCGCTGGTACCAGTCATCGGCAAGTCCACTCAGCTCCACGTCCTCCTGTACCACATCACTCCATCTCTACTCTAGCCCGTGCCGAGCCCGCTTAGCCCCCTCAATCTGGCCGAACAAAAGCTGTTTCGGCATGCGGTGGCTGGGCAGCCTTCCCCGCCGGAGGAGCTCACCGATGGAACATTGCCGAGATCTTTCAAGGATTTTTGAGCTCCTCACACAATCCAGTCTGGTTAAACCCAGGATGGATCGTAGGCAGGCCAGCCTAAATGTTTCTAACCGGCGAAGATGTTCCATTAGGGGGGTCCACGTTTCGCAAGCGTAGAGAAGGGAGGGAATGACCGTGGCCGAGAAGACCTGAAGCTTAGTGCGGAGCGACAGACCAGGTAGCTTCCACACAGCGTTACGCAACCGATGAAAAGATATTGCCGCTCGACTGATTCGGAGTGAGACCTCTGCTGTTAAACTGGAGCCGGTCATAAGCACACTGCCTAGGTATGGGAAACTCTCCACTCTCTCCACAACTGCCCCATCACTGATTGGGAGTTGTGGGGGTGGAGTGTCCGATGGTACAAAATACCCAGGCAGGTGCTTAGTTTTGGTGGGGCTGATGGTAAGGCCCCACCTCTTAGTGGCACGCTCCAGTCTCAGCAGCGTCTCCAACTCCTCCTCCGAATGTGCAGGTATTACATAACGTAGTTGAGCAATAGGGAGCCATCCCTTGACCGCACCCGGGCATCGATCAGCCTCCCATTATATCTGTACCACATGGAGATTCCCCCGGTACAGCTATTGAAGGCTTCACGAACGACGCGGTCAAAATAGATGTTTTATAATGTGGGAGCCAGAGGACATCCCTGTCGCACCCCAAGGTGTACAGGGAATGGCTCTGACTCCCGGCCACGTAGTTTTACCCGGACCCGCTCACCATCACGAAGGTCCTTAATGATCGTGAGCAGAGGGTCAGGGACTCCAAAAGCACGAAGAACGATCCAGAGGCCAGGCCTGCTGATGGTATCATAGGCCTTGACCAGGCCAATAAAGCAGAGATGTAGGTCTTTCTGGAATTCCCTACACCTCTGCTGTAGCAGACGGACAGAAAATATGGCATCTGTGCAGGACCGCCCTTTCCTGAAACCGCATTGGGGCTCCGCAAGCCTCTCCTCAGCGTGTCTGGCAAGGCGATGTTGAATAATCCTTGCCAGGACCTTTCCTGGCACACTGAGGAGTGAGATGCCCCTGTAGTTGTTACAGTCTGTGCGGTCCCCCTTCTTAAAGAGGGGGACCACCAGGGCATCCTTCCAATCCTGCGGAAGCCGTCCAGTGGTCCAGACTGTTGTTATGATGTCATATAGGGCAGTTTGGGCACAAACGCCACCCTCCCTCAGCATTTCGCTTGGGGGATCATCTCTGCCCGCTGCCTTTCCTGGTCTCAGACTCCGGATCACCCTCAGTACTTCCTCAACAGATGGCACCTCAGCCAGCCACTCACAGGGGGTGACTTCTTCCAATATTTGAGGCACCGCAGCCTCAGCAGGGTCATCCTCACTTTGTGCCACGATGTTTTCCTGGCTGTGGGATTTTCCCTCCCCCAGGACCTCACAGAAATGCTCAGCAAATCTGCAAACCTGTTCCTGGGGGTCGGAGATTGGATCACCTTTTTTCCCCTAATGATGGTAATAGGTGTGGCGCTGCAGGTTACTTTTTTGATGGAGTTAAATAGAGATTTGTGATCGCGGGCCACTGAGGCAGACTCCATCTCCTCAGCAACCCGCGACCACCACCCATCCTTGCAGCGCCTCACGGCTCTCCGAACCTCCGAGCGAAGGCTGCGGTAATCCTCCTCATTCTCTGACGTGGGATTCTCTAGCCGATGACAGTGGGCCTGTCACTTTTTCTCAACTATCCTGAACACCTCCTCTGTCAGCCAGGGTCTCTGGGGAGGTCTGGACCGCGTACCCAAAGCAGCCAATGCAGCTGCATGAGTGACAGTCCTAAACCTCACCCATTTTCCCTCGACATTCGGAGGAGTGGGGGACGATGCCAATCCCAGCCGCAAGCGATGATGAAATTCTCGCTTGCAACTTTCATCAGATAACTGAGACCAGGCCACTTTAGGTCGGAATGGGGTCCTGGGTGTACACCCACCACCGGAGTAAAAGAATGGCAGGCGCATCTTACAGGTGACTAGTCGATGGTCAGAGGGCAGATCAGCTCCACGGTAGGTCCTGGTGTCAAGGACATGGGCTCGCATCCGCTGGTCCGTCACTATGTAGTCCAGCAGATGTTCTTGCTTGGACCCGGCATGCATCCATGATGTTGTGTGGATGCGCCGATGCCGGAACAGCGTGTTGGTAATTACAAGCCCATGGGCTGCACAAAAATCTAGCAGCCTCCTACCGTTGTTATTGAGCTCATCTGGCCCATGCCCTCCAATCACTCCAGACCAGGTGCCAGCATCATGACCAACTCGGGCATTGAAGTCTCCCAACAAGATGACTCTATCCCGAGGGGCCACTTTAGCCAGCACCTGTGACAGGAGGTCATAGAAGGCATCTGACTCATCGGATTGCCTGCATCCCTCCACGGATGTTCATCTTCGGTGGGGACATAAGTAACCACGACCACCATTCCTCGCCTCCGGTTGATGGGAAGGCGAGCCCAAAGTAGCCTGGGGCTTACAGCTTCCCACACCTCACCGCCACGCTCACACGCCCCCTTCATTCTTTTGTTCAAAAGAAGAGCCACACCTTGTTGTTTGGCAGTCTGCTGCCCCGAGTAGAGGACTGTCCACCCCTCATGGTGGCAGGAGCCAGAGCCGGTCCACCGGACCTCCTGAATGCCGCAGAGATCCAGGCGGTACCGGTCCAGCTCCCGACAGAGGAGTGGCAGCCTCTCCTCTGCAGTGAGCGTTCGAACATTCCACGTGGCCACCCGTAGTGGCTTGTCGTTGTTTCTGGAGTAGCCCCGAGGGTAGGTATTCAATCTCCTGTCTCCGCCAATTGGGGTTTGGCCAGGAGACGTCATAGACACCTGGCCCCCCGGGGCCTCCAGCACAAGCTTATTTGTTACATATTTCAGTTTAACTCGTGGTTTCGTGGTAATTAATTGAAGGTGGAGGGGTTACCAGCCCCTCGCACCCATCCAGAGCCCCCGTTTAGCCCCTGTGGTGGACACATATGCCATGAGGGGAGGAGCCAATCAAAATTGGATCTCCCCCCACAGCACTGTCCACGACAGAGTTGCCCGTCCGGCACCGCGAGGAGGTAGGGGGTTGTTTTGCCGGACACACACACATACACACACAGACACAACAACAACCGCCATTCGCCACTAAGTGGCGGTGACGTCACCACGACGCTTGTGCCAGGCTATGTGCACCCTGAGGCCACGTGAAGTGTCGAACGCCCGCTGGCAGGAGGTCACGGGGCAGACCCAGGTGCCACGGGTCGACTGACTGAGATGACTGGCTGATGCACCACCTGTGCCCCCTACTGTGCCAACCTGCTGTGCTTTAGCCACCCGGCGCTCCGCTCGCTGTTGTGAGCGTCGCTCCTCCGCCCTCCGTTGTTGTTGGAGGGCGACTGCCTCCAACTGCCCAGTAGCATCCTTCACGAGCCTCCTCCACAGAGGCCGATCTTGACACCGCTGGTACCAGTCATCGGCAAGTCCACTCAGCTCCACGTCCTCCTGTACCACATCACTCCATCTCTTCTCTAGCCCGTGCCGCGCCCGCTTAGCCCCCTCAATCCGGCCAAACAAAAGCTGTTTCGGCATGCGGTGGCTGGGCATGCGGGCTACATGACCCAGCCATCGCAGCCTTGCCTGCCGGAGGAGCTCACCGATGGGACCCTGCCCAGATCTTTCAAGGATTTGTGAGCTCCTCACACAATCCAGTCTGGTTAAACCCAGGATGGATCGTAGGCAGGCCAGCCTAAATGTTTCTAACCGGCGAAGATGTTCCATTAGGGGGGTCCACGTTTCGCAAGCATAGAGAAGGGAGGGAATGACCGTGGCCGAGAAGACCTGAAGCTTAGTGCGGAGCGACAGACCAGGTAGCTTCCACACAGCGTTACGCAACCGATGAAAAGATATTGCCGCTCGACTGATTCGGAGTGAGACCTCTGCTGTTAAACTGGAGCCAGTCATAAGCACACTGCCCAGGTATGGGAAACTCTCCACTCTCTCCACAACTGCCCCATCACCGATTGGGAGTTGTGGTGGTGGAGTGTCCGATGGTACAAAATACCCAGGCAGGTGCTTAGTTTTGGTGGGGCTGATGGTAAGGCCCCACCTCTTAGTGGCATGCTCCAGTCTCAGCAGCAGCGTCTCCAACTCCTCCTCTGACTGAGCAGCTATTAC